ACAGGCATTGGACTGGATAGTTCATCTTCGACACAAACAGCCTGGGTTCTGTTAGTAAGGTAGCTCGTCAACCATGCGAGTGAGTTATCCTCCAAACCAAATCTTTTGAGCTTGCGAATGAGATCATCATGGGGGACGGTATCAAAGGCCATTTTCAAATCGATAAATAAGGCCCCAGTTAGTTTTCCCGCCTCTGTGCTTCTTCTAATTGTGTCACAAAAATATGTTACCGCGGTCTGTGTCGAATGATAACGTCTAAACCCCGATTGAAATGAATTGAAGAGGCCATGTTGATTTAGATACTGTTGAAGCTGAACATTTACGGCTTTTTCAGCAATCTTCGAAATTACTGGTACGATGGAAATGGGCCGGTAATTGTCCATAACTTGCCGACCTCCTGATTCGTACAGAGGAACAACTCTCGCCGGCTTCCACTCATCTGGCACAGTGCCTGTGGTCAAAGAGAGATTTACAAGAAAAGTGATTGACTGGGTGATAACAGCAGCACTGTAGTCAGTGGTGTACCGCGAGGGAGTGTACTAGGCGCATTATTATTTAGCACTTATGTAAACGACCTACCAAACATCTGTCAGAATTGTTCAACTGAATGCTATGTGGACGACACAAAGCTTTTATTATCCTTTTGTGCGAATGATTCTGCCCAAGCTATAGAATGAGTGAACTCTGATCTACAACGTATACGCGATTGGTGTTTCGACAATTGCTTAATGCGTGATCCTCAGAAGACTAAACTGATGGTCTTTGGCAGTCGAAGAATGTTTCTTAAAGTTCCAGACTTTAAGTTGCCCCTGCTCGGAAAGGAAATTATCCCAGCTCAAACATTCAAGGATCTTGGTGTTATTTTTGATCTCACACTATCCTTTGACAATCATATCTCTGCGACTGTCTCATCTTGCATGTCGAAACTATCCCAACTAAGTCGCATTAGATTCGCCTTTAACAAAGATCTGCTTGAAACTATAATTAACGCCCTCGTTTTTAGTAAGATGTATTACTGTTCGTCAGCATGGTCTTCCACATCAGATTGCAATGTTCATAAGCTACAATACGTTCAAAATTTTGCCACCCGCATTATTTGCAATGTAAAGAAGTACGATCATATTTCTTCGACATGAAGGAATCTACGCTGGCTACCGGTAAAATCAATCCTGTACTATCGTGACGCTACCTTATCATTCGAATGTAAAACGGGCCTAGCGCCTGAATATTTGACATCCAAGCTTGTAACAAGAGGCAGCGTATCTGGGCGTATTAGGAGGAACTTTCAACAACTCAACATTCCCCCTTTTAAAACTACAACAGGTCAGAGGACCTTTGATTATAGAAGCGTAGCCACCTGGAATAAACTTGACTCAGGAATGAAACTATGTGAAAAACCAGCTTCTTTTAAGAGAGCTTTGAAAGGCATCTCCTGAATGATTTTTTATTTAAATAACCATTCTATTCTTAAAGTTATAAGTAACTTTTTTTGTATTTAACGTGTTATTAGTTAGTTTTGTATGTATAGTATCCCGTATGTAAATTATGTAATTGTTCACTGAAAAGCCCCAGACGGGGATGTGTTCAAATAAAATGTATGTATGTATGTATGTACGTCCCTCCTGTTACTAGTCAAGTGTGATGACCACTACACTATCAGGACAACCATGCTGGCAACATGGCAATCGAAGATGTGATTTTACGTGATTGGAGACGTGGTCTCCCAGGACATCAGGACATCACCCGTTTCTCCTATATAATTATGTCCACATCCTGAACATGTAATTACGTAAATCAAGTTTGTTGATGTGCAGTTCATCGAATATTTTATCCGGAATGTTTCATTCGTGGCGAAGAAGCCTTCTTCGCCACGAATGAATGAGAAATAGTGTGACAGTCCACAAACAACAAATTAGATACCCGCGCACACGTATGCTGGGAGTCAGCAAACATATTGATGAATGTGCTGGGGGATTGACCCCTCAGTTCACTATCTTTCCGTTTTATAAGATTCTCGGCCCTTCTGAGGTCATGAGAAAGAACAAGGAAAGATTTTTTATTTCTAAATATTAACCCGTTCTTAATTACTTGAAATTACGCTAATTGCTCGCGCGTGCTTCTAATTACAATAACCATTGTAATTACAATTAGATCTGTGACGTAATAAGTCAATAAACACACTTTGCTATGCCTGAAGAACCGCAACAGCGGTGAAACGCATAGTGCAAAAGCAAAGAGTAAGAGAAAGAAAAAGACTTTCGTTTCTCATTTATTTCAGTATATAATTATATATATACGTAAATATATTAAAAATCAAATAAAAATGATTAAGGTTGATATTTTGAGCTTTCGTTGTATGCATATTAGGCGGAGAAACAACCTATCTAGAGCGTTTTATACATGGCTAATACAACGGCAAAATGACTGTCCATTGTCAGGGTCAAATCAGTTTTACGTCTTTAATGCAAGCGTCCAATGTTTTCTGCAGTCGTTATATATTAACGTAACTTAGAACATTTAGCAATATACTACTGACAATTCTTAATGTTATTTTATACTCCCAAAAAGTTACCTGTGACAGCCATCCCTGCAAAAACAGTGGAACTTGTACAGACGGAGTCAACGGATATAACTGTAGCTGTGCACCAGGATTTCACGGGACACAGTGTGAAAAGATTGAAGGCCTGTCTTGTTCAACAGGTTTGTTGAGAAGTGAGACATATTTCATAGGATCTAGACATAAAAACTCGTCTGTGTTCCGTCGGACAAAGACCGCCAAAATGCCCCTGACTCTGAATTCCCGTGAATCGTATAAATTACATATATCTCATTAGATGTTATGTTGCGTAGTATCGCTGAGTATTTTTACGAGGTGTGCCGTATTTTGACGAACCCGTAAGGCAAGTCAAAATACAAATAACGAGTGAAAATACTCAGGATACGACACACCAAAACGTCTAATATGTTATTTATTATCCAACACGCCAGTACGGGCGAATTTCGTGGATATTTATTTACGGGGAGTTCGTGACAGAAGTATGCGAAGCGGAACAGAATTGGCGCGTTGTCGTGTTGCTGTTTCTNAAGTCAATAAACACACTTTGCTATGCCTGAAGAACCGCAACAGCGGTGAAACGCATAGTGCAAAAGCAAAGAGTAAGAGAAAGAAAAAGACTTTCGTTTCTCATTTATTTCAGTATATAATTATATATATACGTAAATATATTAAAAATCAAATAAAAATGATTAAGGTTGATATTTTGAGCTTTCGTTGTATGCATATTAGGCGGAGAAACAACCTATCTAGAGCGTTTTATACATGGCTAATACAACGGCAAAATGACTGTCCATTGTCAGGGTCAAATCAGTTTTACGTCTTTAATGCAAGCGTCCAATGTTTTCTGCAGTCGTTATATATTAACGTAACTTAGAACATTTAGCAATATACTACTGACAATTCTTAATGTTATTTTATACTCCCAAAAAGTTACCTGTGACAGCCATCCCTGCAAAAACAGTGGAACTTGTACAGACGGAGTCAACGGATATAACTGTAGCTGTGCACCAGGATTTCACGGGACACAGTGTGAAAAGATTGAAGGCCTGTCTTGTTCAACAGGTTTGTTGAGAAGTGAGACATATTTCATAGGATCTAGACATAAAAACTCGTCTGTGTTCCGTCGGACGAAGACCGCCAAAATGCCCCTGACTCTGAAACTCCGTGAATCGTATAAATTACATATATCTTATTAGATGTTATGTTGTGTAGTATCGCTGAGTATTTTTACGAGGTGTGCCGTATTTTGGCGAACCCGTAAGGCAAGTCAAAATACAAATAACGAGTAAAAATACTCAGGATACGACACACCAAAACGTCTAATATGTTATTTATTATCCAACACGCCAGTACGGGCGAATTTCGTGGATATTTATTTACGGGGAGTTCGTGACAGAAGTATCCGAAGCGGAACAGAATCGGCGCGTTGTCGTGTTGCTGTTTCTATTTTCTTCAATAACTGATGAATTTTCATTTTCCTCTAAATGCTTTTCTTCGATCGATTTATCTAACAAACTTGGATCGATATTCACCAGCCATTGCGACTCTTCCTTGTAAGAGAAAAGATATAAACTGTCCGCCATTTTTTTGACTTCAATCCAATTCGTCCCTTGCGCGATGCGAGAAAACCTGTCTAACCGGTTCTCTCGAGTACAAATAGCACCTGATTTTTGTGCTCGTCTTGGACGCTATTTGTACTCTACGGAGTATAGTTGAATAATGATATATATAGAAAAACAACAATTGAAAAACAACAATTGAAAAACTACAATTGAAAACTGAAACAACAACCTACTGAAAAACAGCAATTGCCCTCGTCAACCCTGGATAGTCTAAGGGCTAAAGTGAAATTCCTTTTGTGTTCTCCATAGCCACATGTTTCAAAGGTTCTTTTAAAGTATTTATTTTTTAATTGAAACCAATACTTAAATAAATCTGTACTACTACACTTCCTTCGTTCATTATCGTCGTTGAAATAGAGGGGCATGACGACCACAGTCTATGCACGTGCACACGTGCGATCCGCTGGAAATCTGAAATAACTTATGTAGATGTCAAAATATTTATTGGCGAGGTGTTTTGATATTTGCAGTGGTGGACTGTTTGAAATCTAGTCTGTGGTATTATCAACTATGTTAATATCATTAATGGTTGACAAACAATAAAAGATACGCAATCCTAAGCCGTCTTTTGCCGTATTGATTCGTGAAATTATTCTCAATAGAGAAGGTAGGAAACGGCACTTCTGGTCTCCTGAAGAACTCAGTTTCTTTTTCCACAGCTTACCGGATTATTTTTGAACAGCCTACCACCGACAGTTACGTCATCAAAGCAAATGCCATTTCATCTAATCTCGCGGAATTTACTGTGTGTATTTTTGTTAAGAGGAAGGATACAAATTCAAATTCTTGGCAGTGCCTCTACAGCTACGCAGAAGCCTCTGGTTTTGATATTGGAAATGCCATATATGTCTGTTTGAATGAACCGAATATTGAGATCAACGTGGATGAGCGGGGAAACAGGTAACTGATCAGCATGAAACAAACCAAAAAAAAGCCTTGAAAGAATGCTAGCGCTCCGCCGAACTTTCTTTCACTTTTTCCGGGGTGCTTAGCAATGCACTGAAGCATTTTCTGAGGTACTGAAAGACGGAAAACTCAGTGCCATATCATGCTAGAACAGCCAACGATAATGCTCAGGTTATGACGGAAAATGTTGACAAAAATGTAATGGCATTATCCAAATCAGGAAAGCATCAATGTAATTTTGTGTTGCGTGTGAGTACATACTTTGGTAAGAGGTATCATGAAGAAAAAAAAAGAGACGATCATAATTTTTCTGGAAAATCAACCACTTTGCAGCATAGTATTCTTCCTCAATCAGCCTAATCGATAAGAGGCCTCAAACACCAACGGTAGATATTTTGAAACCCTTTCTTTCGAACCATGATGCTAATAATCACAATAACACTGAAGAGAAGTAAAAAAAATAATAATAGTAAAAACAATGACTGGAGCGATGGTGATGAATAAAGATGATGATTTTTGGAGTGGTACCCTGGCTAAATCAAATCACCTTGACCGTTATCAATTTATCTATGGAATGAGCCGTTTGTTTGTGCGAAGTTTCAAAATCAGGCTCACAACTTAAGCAATTTA